TGCTCGCACCTCCGGCAGTAGATGCTGGAAGAGAAGGGGAGCGTCCCTTGAGAATTTTCTGCCGCGCCGAATGCGATTCACCCTCCCTAAGCCACAGCTGAGGGGTTTAAGAAGAGGGGAAACTGAGGCACGGGGCGACTCGCATCACCAGCTGCAGGTGCAGGCATGAACTTGGGGTTTCAAGCCAGCTTTGCTCCCCTCCCTTCTCCCAGGGACCTGCCAGGCTCGTATCACACCCTGGTCCCATGCCTCGCCGAGGCTGCGGCAGTCCCTCTCCAAAGGCAGGTGATGAAACCTCCTTGGCTCTGCCCTCCTGGCAGAGATGGTCCTGCAGCAGCAGCCCCAGATCCCTCAGTGCAGGATGACACCCAGGGAAAAGGCACCACTCACCTGGAGATGTGCCCCTGGTCAGCGTGACCGGGACGGGAACAAAAGAGGTTGCAGGACTTCCTGGTATCTTCCAGGAAGCGATGGGCTGACTCAGCACGAAGGTCCTCCACTCTCCTGGCCTCGTGGTTCTTCTTCTTGAAAAACCACTGGTGGTCCCCAAAGCACTTAGTGCAGAGGAACTCCTCGCACTCAGAGCACCACACTGCCGCCTCTTCACCCTGGCACCGGCAGCACTTCGGGCCATTGTCATCTCTGATCTTCTTGTAGACGTTGAGCCTGGCCTGCAGGTTGATGAAGAGCACGTTGTCCACGTCGGGGATGCCACTGGCCTGCGGGATGGGGGTTTGGCACACGGGGCACTGCGCAATGGGCTTGTTCTCGCTCAGGCAATCGAGGCACAAGGTGTGGAGGCAGGTGAGGAGCTTGAGGTTGGGCGATTCTTGCCGGCAGCGCTCGCAGAGGATGAACTGGAAGTCATCCTCCTCCACCGCGGGAGGGTAGGGCGGAGTGGAGCACAAGGGATTGGCCGGCTGAGGTCCTGTCTCCACGAGGGCAGCAGCACCGTCTCCATCTACATGGGATGTGGGGGAAAGCCTTTGTTGGGAGTACGTGAGGTGGAAAGGGATGGGAAGGTTGGTCGCACCCCTGAGGGCCAATGCAGGCCACCCGTGGGCAGCCCACTAGACCCTCCCCGCTGCAGGGTGGGTGGGTGGGTGGCAGCACCCCGGCAAGGCAAAGGGTGCTGCTCCTGGGGAGATGCTCTGCAAAGGGTTGTGCTCCCTCCTGCCCTCGCTGTGAGGCACTTAAGAGGGTCTTAGCCTCTTTCGCTTCGGGCAATTTGGGATTTCAAAGCTGGGGGGCACACACATGAAGGCCGCAAAGCAACTTTTCTTTTGCTTTGCTGACAGCACCTCTTCCTGCCCTTGCAGCAGGGAGGGAAGGGGGGGCCCTGGCAAGGGTGCCCCTCATTTCCTGCAAAGCCTTCCACGCAGCACAGGGATCCTGGCACCAAGCTCATCACCACA